ACTGTTAAAGCATTTAGGGACAAAGATTTCAATCCAGCAGGCAAACATAAAGCCAAAAACAACAATACACCAAGGATTACATCAAGAGGTAGTAACACCCTTCATAAAGGCTGCATTATCATCAGGTGAATCAGTGTATTGGAAATGTATTCATATTAGAAATGCAGCTTTTGAAGCTGTTTTTGAGTTCTAGATATTGTTCCTACTGCTAAATGTTTTGTTGTTTTTGGTGTCAGTGAAATTGGTACCTTCCCCAGAGTTTAGGATATTATATAAGGGGCAGTGATCATAAAATTACCTCATTAGTTAGTACAAACATGAGCAGAGACATTTCAGCTGTTTAATCTGTTGATAATCAACATGCACAAGCAACTTATGTCACCTTATCCTCATCTCTAACTTCAAGTCATTTTGCCTGAATGAATTCTTTCATTGGTTGAAGCATCATGTGTCTGGCAACGCAATCATATCTTATTCATTTTCAGATTGGAGCCATTGTCAGTAGCAAATTGTTAAGTAGTATGAGAATTGTATTTATTGCTTGTTTTCAGTTAACTTAATCAACACCAAGCACTTCAACTACAAAATTTACATATTTTGATGGAATTGTTTTTGAGACTTCTTTTTCCAAAGAACTAATTCTTTTCATGTTTTATTGCAGATGATCATCTATGATCAGTTTTATTTTAAAAATCACAGTTTGTTTTTACAGAATATAGTAGATCCCTAGGTGAGCCAATCAACATCTTAAAGAATGGAATGTGGTGGTGAGCATCACCAAACAGGAAGTAATTTCTTTGAGATGATGAAAGAGAAAACTTCCAAAAGACCTGATAATGGAGGCAGTTATTGGTTTTATTGGCCCTTGGAGATGGTCAGGGTCAAATGGGACACAGCCCTTCAGAACCATATTTAGGCTGAGAAGAGCTCTTATATCTATCTACCCTTCCTTCCTCAACAGTAAATTGCCAATGAAGTCTAATCCTGTGGCAAATAAAACAAGTGTCGATAGGGCACTGTCATAGTTTAGATCCCCAGTCAGACGTTTCTTCACCCACGTACATGATCTAGTGGGGTTAATTTGCTGTAAAAAGAGGAAATAATTACAGTAGTGGTAAACCAAAACAGTCACAATAAAGGCTCCAGCTTATACAACTTTATCATTGAGTACATTGGCAAGCTATTCATAGACAGCACATCATATTGCAAAGGTACATGCATGAAGAATTGGATTAAGGTGTTGCCGCCAATAAACCAGATTTGGCGATAGTCCTGCCACTACACTGATGAGGAAAATCAAAAAGTCAGGGACTGGGGTAACAGGTTTTCAAAGACATTACCCAAAGAACACTTGCTCATATTTAAAGGGCTTGATTTCCCGAGAAACAAACAGTTACTTCACACCTCCAAATATTAGGGTTTCTGTTCCATAGTGCAATTAAGAAGATCCTGGTCAAGCAATTGAACATTTTGTGTTATTCATTCATAACATCTACTGACTTGTGATGGTACAAACTCCCACTTGTCAGATGTTGAATTACAAACCTAACAGTGTGAGGCTTCTATTAAGTCAATGTGACTCCAAGATGACAAGCAAAAATTTAAGTTTATGACAACTCAATCCAGTGTGACAGACTTGAGAGTTTGATATGTGAGTCAGGTGAGTCTACAATGTTCCATAGCATCACTGACAGAACCTAGATGTGAAGATTTGGAATTCATGACTGGCATTCTTTCCACCTGACTCAAGTAAAGCCTGCAAGTTGTTCTAAAATCCTGGAAAGAATTGGCTGTTGGTTTAATGAACTGGGCAACATATGGGAAGAACATAAATTATTGGGTTAAACTTATGTAACAACATTATAACATTACACAGCATACACAATATGCAACAAGGTACAAACTATAGATGTAGATTTCTATGAACAACTTGTCAAGATATCATGATGGATTATTATTAAGCCTTATTAAGCCAAAATACTTCCTCAATTAAAGATTGTTGATTAAAACAACAATCTCCATTTTACTTATTTAATGGAAAAGTCCTGTTCAGAAACTAGCCATCAAACCATGCATTGTGTCTGAAAGCCTCTTACGAACTGTTATCTAATGATGTTGCAAATAGGTCTTAGCATTAACAACTGGCGATTATCTCTCTGAACTCCTAACTTTAACAGAAATAGAAAGTCGTAAGTTGAATTTTGTTTTTGGAAATGTTTAATTGAAATCCATAATATATTGTATATGTGTATATATAACAAACCTGAGTTTTTCAAATGATCATGGAACATCAGTATTAGACTGGTAGGTCCTTCCAGCTTCTGGTGTATCAGACGATCAAGTAATAGCGCTCACATTATATCTGACCTTGCACAACAGTTAAGGATAAATAATTGGATTGTAAAGCTTAAAACTTGGACTCTGGACCCAAAGTTCAGTCACACTTGTAAGCAGATAAAACAGGAGAGATTTTTGTCCTTCGAGGCATGTGTTTTCAGGTTAGATAATTTCACATTTGAGACAGCAACAGAAAAGGCAGTCCACATAATATATGAAAATGTTTCTGCAATTCAGGCACACTTCATGGTATATGTTACTTGCATTCCTTCTGGGCAAAAGAAAAGAAATTATTTTGAATTACTGTCAAAAACCATACTGGCTTTTTCACATTCATAAACTATTACCAATTTATGAAACAATACATTAAAAGGACTGACACTGATTATGTAATAGGCTAGATAGCAATTCAAAGATCTATCATAAAGTAAGATGTTGGATGGACATCGTTGTCACAATGACTTGAGATTTTTGAGTATCTTTAAGCAAAAAAACGCTGTAATATTTCATGATCACCAAGTGGAAGAAAAATGGCTATTGTGGTAAACAATTAATAGGGAAAGTGTAAGCTAGGTCAAAGAAGTAGGCGTAAAGGAAGGCCTTAAAAAAAAAGGAAAATAAAGCAGTTGAGATTTAAGGGAACCTAGCTGGAAACATTCAAACAAGAGGTTATGCAATATTGAGAACCACTAAGAGAAAGGAAATCTGTGAATATTGATTAGCAGACGGTTGTAGAGGGTTATTGTGTGGTTTAAAGGGCAACTTTTTTTAAAGAGGAAAACGTAAATGGTTTAATTTTAACCATCAAATCAACAACATTGACAGGCAATGTCATTGACAAGATTTGTTAGTTTACATTAAAAGAAGTTTTGTCTGGTTTCCATCATTATTCCATGGATAGTACCTGATGAAAGGAATTCCGAGAATTCATCTCACCTAATTTATGAACAGAATTGGCTTTAACAATTTGAAATTCACTTCATTAAATTCTAAACATTTAGAGCAATTCACAAGTAATGTAAGTTTGAGTGTTGTATTGGAATTCTGCATTGTTAAACTTTGCTTTTGTATTTTTGCATAAATAAATCTGCAGAAGTATGTTTTAGAGAAGTATTTTTGTCCTATCTTCTATTATGTTGGCAATCTTATTTGTTCTTCATTAAATAATTTGCTCGGGATTGAAGTAGATCTGTACCAATACCTATCATGGAGGTGTATAAATGCAGAGGTTTCGTTCATAAAACATTAAGTTTGCTTCAGGAGTTCGATCTCGTCCTGAGATGGGAGAGGAAATTCAGAAAATTAACTAATGTGCGGCCGCCGAAGTACTTCATGGATCCCTTGCGCAGCCACTGGAACGTTCTACGCAGTTAAATGCAAATCTCCGCCAAAAGCTTCGCAAAACGACGGCACAGAGAAAATGCGCATCACAAACATGGCAACGTGGCCGCGCCAGCAGCAACCCCAGAGCCAATGAGTCTCCAATCTTGTTTTGTTTGGCTCTGGTGCACTGCTGAATTTTCCAAAATCCAGGTCTCAGACTGATCTAGAAAGTGTGCTAGAGAACGACACCTCACAGGCAGGATCAAAGCGTACAAACCCAAAGACAGCGTTTTAATTCAGTATTGAAAAAACATTGATAATATCCCATCTGACTGGCATAACGAACAGTGTATGCAAAAACCCACCTCAGGCAACAGTACTGTACATATTTCAAATGCCCGTTAATCTCCTGTGTTGTACAATTATTCAGACGGCAGCTATTATTTAATCAAGAAGTGAATCCCTCCTGTCTCAGGCAATAGGAAGAAGCGTTTCGCCTCTCTAAATCTCCTTGTTGTGCCAAAAATAAAGTAATTGGGTTAGAAGGGGACCGATTTTAAACGTTTTTAAGGTGAATCGTGCGCCTGCTAACAATGAAAATGATAACAACTGTAAATTGTAACGCGTAATAATTCCAAATATTTCCTTTGGAATTTAATCTCAAATTCAAATTGATTTAGTCATATCTCCACATCGTGGCAAATTCCCACGCCTGAACTAATGGCACTGATGGATAACACATGACAGGATAAGACCCAACGTGCCCAAACTATTCGGGACATGACGAAAAATGCTGTCATCGTTGTCAGTCTGTTCGTTTGGTTAACAGTGAGAAAACTGCAGCTAAATGTTGTCAGACGCAAGCGAAACGGGGCGCGGCGAAGTACAAATACGTAGATTTGTTGATACTGTCCGTTCGTCCACCGACGTTACTTAACAGGAGAAAATCACAATCACCGCTGATAGCCGCGTGAAAAGCTGCTTCAACAGTCCTTCCACACATTCTGGCAATAAATAAAGGATTGAGATGGGGTGGGTGAAGGGCTTGAAATTATTGCCACGTCGTCAGGAAAGTGGAAATTATACAGCAGAGTGGTCGCTCGCCCTCTCCTCCACTAGGAACATCAACCCCCACCCTCCCAACGCCCCCCACCCCGGTACTCCTCATACCCGGGAGTCAGGCGGGCGGGCACTCCCTTATCTAGATCTCGGAAAAAGGTGGAGGTCTGCAAATTACACAACTGAGACTTTCACATCTGTGATACTTCAACAGTTGCAGGGGATGGATGGAAAGGGCAAACAAGTACATGAAATGAAGTGCGTGCCGAACGGTTACTCACTGTGCGCTCATGGGACCCAAGCGTCGAAGTGCTCATGGTTTCTTTCAGACGTTTCTCCCCCTCTCTTTTATCCCCTTCTTCTGATCGGTTAGCCGGCCTGGCTTTGAATTCCGTTAAATATATCTGCCCTTCGAAGCAGTGGACCAGCGACTGAGCGAGTGTCTTTGTGATTGATGTAATGGAATCCAATGTCAACAGAGGGCGATTCTCGGGAGGAAAGAGGAGGGGGTTTACTTAGTAACAAATACAGCTTTTTTTAACTAAAAGTTCGAAGAATAAATGCTTTATTGACATAAATCTAAGTCCACAGTTCCACGATTAATTTCGGTGTAATTAATAATCAATGCTTTAGAAACAGCTCAGCTCAATTCTGTAAAAAGTGTATTTTAATCAGAGAACATTCCCCTCATGTGTACAATTGAGCTAGTAATGGTTCTGTTCCAATAAAGTGGACACGCTTTTTAAAAAAATAACTTTAATTTCAGCTGATGGCATCTCGCTCCTTCACCTCCGCAACCCATAGACATTCTCGCTTTCAGAAGTATAGAATGCCTGCAGTGTGAAAGCAGACCTGCTCTTGCAACCAATGTATCTGTACGGTATGTCCAATTCATTTCTGCTCAATGGTAACCCCCAGGACATTGATAGCAGGCAGATTTAATGAATGATAACAGCATTGAACAGAAGACATACAGAACATACAACACGATTTGCACTCAAATGCGCTCTTATTTAACTTGTGCAAGCATTAACACAAAAAAGCAATCACAACTGATTCTTCTGTTTCACTTAATGAAGACAACGGCAATGATTTCTTTTCAGCCGTCAATTAATTTCCATTTACAAAACAGTAGTATAAAACTCAATTTTAAAAATATAGAGTAGGAGATAAATGTTAATCAAATATGACTGCCCTCCTCTTCAACATACTACCATGAGAACTATTGTATCGCCCCAAGAGCGCAAACCAGGTTTCAAGTTAATAATTGATGTGAAAATTATACCTCTGACGATGTAGCACTTCAGTGTTGCACTGGGTTGGTAGCTTAATATTATAGGTAGAAATAGGTGATGTTCGTGATGGTTAGTTATGAGGTCAAGTAGGACTCCAGTGTTATAAACAATTTATTCTAGTTGTAAACAATTACCAGAGACAGGTAGCATGGTAGCTCAATGGTTAGCACTGCTGCCTCACAGGGACTCTCGGGTGACTGTGTGGAATTTGCATGTTCTCCCCATGTCTGTGTGGGCTTCCTCCGGGTGCTCTGGTTTCCTCCTATAGTGCAGGCAAGGTGGATTAACCATGGGAAATGCAAGGTCACAGGGGATAGGTAAGAGGTGGGACTGGGTGGGATGCTCTTTGGAAGGTTGGTGTGGACTTGATGGGCCAAATAGCCTGCTTCCACATTCTACAATCCTAGAGGGATGGAGTTTGTGGCTGAACTGAAGACAATTACAGCACAACCTAGACCCATTTTTATCTACTAAGTACAATGCAGTTTACATACAGTAGTAGAGATTGAAAGCTTGGCTTTATTCCCAATGCTGCAGCTGAGATCGGTTAACAAAGCATGCAGGATTGAACTTGCAACTTTCATGAATGTATGACTAATGTACTTATGATGGGCACTATCTACTCCACTATATCACCAGGAGGGCTTACCAAACATTAGGATGGTAACTTATTGCATCTATTTGCACACAAATCCAGATTAAGTTAAATTTTAATGGCTTGTAACTTTATCTGTAATTCAAAGCTCAATAAGGAACTGAAAGAAGAGCTAGAGATATAGTTAGTGAATATTTGCTGGGGTTTTCAGACAGTTTAGTTTATTTGGAAATTAGAATTAAGTAAACTGTAACCCAAATTTTAATTAACTGAAATTTTGATTCTTCAGTTTGAACATGTATCCCAAAATACTATTTTAGAACTTCTTTGAAAAAATCTTTCTTTTCAGAGCATGCTATATTAATGGTTTTCAGTCAGGTAAGTGGAACATTCAAGCTGTTTGTAACACATACCATATACCATCCAGGAGACTATTTCCAACTTACTAGTTACATTTTCCTGAAGGTAGAAGAAGGGACAGGAGAGTTACCAAACGTTGGTAAGAAAGAGATAGTAGGAACTGCCGATGCTGGAGATGAGGCCAGGGGGTGGGGAGATTTTAAAGCTGGTGAATTACATGTTTAGGCCATCAGGCTGTAGGCTTCTGAGGTGGAATATGAGGTGCTGCTCCTCCAGTTTGCGGGTGCCATTATTGTGACACTGGAGGAGGCCCAGGATGGACATGTCACCCAGGGAGTGGGAAGGGGGAGTTAGAATGGTTGGCAACCAGAAGGTGATGCTGTACAAAACGGTCTTCGAATCTGCACTTGGTTTCACCGCTGTCTCACTGATGTAGAGGAGGCCACATCAGGAGCAGCAGATGCAGTCGACCAAGTTGATGGATGTGCAGGAGTCTAATATGGAAGGTTTGTTTGGTGCCTTGAATGGAGGTGAGGGGGGAGGTGTAGGGACAAGTGTAGGGAAAGGTGCCTGGGCTGGTGGGATTAGTGGGGAGTGTAGAGTGGACAAGGGCCTCGCGGAGACAGCAGTCCCGACAAAAGGCAGACAGGGGTGGGGAGGGAAATATCTCTTTGGTTGTGGGATCGGACTGTAGGTGGAGGAAGTAGCGGAGAATGATACGTTGGATGCGGAGGTTGGTGAGGTGATATGTGAGGACAAGGGGATTGTCTTTGTTTTTGTTGGGGGGGAGGGGATGTGAGGGCAGAAGTGCAGAAATGCAAGAGATGTGGTTGAGGGCATTTTCGATCACCGGAGGGGGCAAGTTACGGTCCTTGAAATAAGAGGACATCTGGGATGTGCAGGAGTGGAATGCTCCATCTTGGGAGCAGACGCAGTGGAGGAATTGGGAGTAGGGGTTCACATTCTTGCAGGAAGATGGGTGAGATGAGGTGTAGTCCAGGTAGCTGTGAGAGTCGGTGGGCTTGAAATAGGTGTCAGTTGAGAGGCAGTCACCAGAGCTGGAGACAGAGAGGACCAGGAAGGAGAGGGAGGTTTCGGAGGTGGTCCGGGTAAATTTGAGGTTGGGGTGAAAGGTGTTAGTAAAGTTGATGAACTGTTGAAGCTCCTCGTGGGAGCACGAGGCAGTGCCGATACGGTCATCAATGTAGCCGAGGAAGAGGTGGGGAATGGTGCCAGTGTAACAGCGGAAGAGGGACGGTTCCACATATCCTTTGAAGAGGCAGGCATTGCTTGGGCCCTTGTGGGTGCCCCCTTAGTCTGTAGAAAGTGGAAGGAGTTAAAGGAGAAGTTGTTAAGGGTAAGGATGAGTTCAGTTATGCAGATGAGGGTGTCAGTGGAGGGGGACTGGTTGGGCCTGTGGAAGAGGAAGCAGCTCAGACCTTTGTTGTTCCTCATCCACATAAATAACCAAATGCAAAACGCAACTATAACCTTGTTAAATTTGTGATTACTAATGAAGAGGGTGTGGAATACCTAGTGATTCTATGAAAGTAGGGGCTGGAGGTAATCTAATTTCCTACTTTTCTCTTGTAATAGATATATCAAGATCATGCCCACTATAAAACCACCAACACAGAAATTGCACTGTGGTTCTGGATATACTTGGTCTACAAGTAATTACAATTAAGCATAATCCTAAAGAAGACCTCCCAATAATTCTAAGAAGTGAGATTCCCCTGTAGTTGTCCCCTCTTTTGCCTTTTTTAATGATGTAATGCTTTTGTCATCATGTACATTCTGTAGCATGTCCATCAGTGGAACAGAATTAGACAAGATTTGGGAGAACAAGTGTTGTCCACCAAAGCTGCTTGGTCTTATTTGTTCCTTTCATAGTAATATGAATTCTACTCTGTAGTCTGACAGCACCACTTCCAACAGTTTCAAGGTGAAGAATGGAGTGAAATAGGACAGAATCCAAGACTCCTCCTTATTTGATATCTTCTTCTCCATGCTCCTGACTTGTGCCTTCCTGCAAACATGGAAGAAGTTTGTCTGCATAATAGGTCATACCTATTGACATTGTAAGGTATGGCAAACCTTACATTTCATCCTGATTGAAAAAGAAGACAAAGATGCAGTACATCTTTCACTGGGAACTCCTTTCTGCTGATGATGTTGTGCTAAACACTCACCTGCAAACTCAACTACTGAAGACTCATGGGTTGTCCCTCACATGTTTGTGACTTGTTCCTTAACAACAAGCGTTGATCAAACTGTGATTGTGCAACAGGGTGACACCTCCCTGTCCCAGATCACACTCAATATCACTGCACAGTAAATGGGAGTAAATTCTGCTACCTTGGTCCATGGCGACAGATGACCTGTATATTGCTGCAGAAGTTGATAAACACATTGGGCAAGCAATTACTGCCTTACTCATGAATTGTGCGTGGAATAACCTCAAGATAACTCCTAGGACCAAGATGTTGGTTAATGAGGCCCATGTTGTCAGAATCTGGTTGTAAGACAGTGAAACATGGCACTTGACAGGTATCAAGAAAGGAAGCTCAACAACTTTCATTATTTATGTCACATTCTGGTGATCCCATGAAAGGATAAAATCATGAATGTTGCGGTTCTCTCAAAGACAAGTATCCCAAGTATGTTGGCACCTATTAAGTAGAGATGACTTCATTGGTAAGGTGGATAACAATCACAAACTAAGTATTGTCTGTGAGGTGAGGTGGCTGGAGTCAAAAAACCAATAGGACACACAGTGCTTTGCTCCAAAGATGCTTGTAAGCATGATGTGAAGACCATAAATATTGAATCTTGCTCCTGGGAAACAACAGCTGATTACAGAGGAATTCAAAACTGGGTGTCCAAAAGGTGCTATGGACTATCAGCTGCAGCAGAATTGTTTTCTACCACAATCTGTAATCTCATGGACATGCATATCTCTCTTTCTTCCATTACCATCAACTCTGGTTTAATGAAGAGTGCAGAAGGGTACACTAGAAGCAGCACCATGCTGGTCTAAAAATAAGGTATTGATAGTGAAGTTACATCACACATGGCAAGTTTTAGCCATTTCAGTCACTCTATGTGAGAAAATGCTGAAGGCACTAGCCACTGTAAAGGCTTTGGGCCCTGATAGCAATCCAACAATACTACTAAAGATTTGTGCTCTAGAATTAGCTACACCCCTAGCTGAATTGTTCCAATACAGTGACAACAC